CACAGTTTGCATTTAATATTTGGTATGTAATCTTAAAGGTATGAAATTTTTAGATTTTACTATTTTTAGCATGCTTAGCTCAGTCCTTTACTGTATCCTATTAGTTATTCTAAACTTTTTTCTCATCAACCATTTCTTATTCTATAATAACAAATATGGTTGCTTGTCTAGTTATTACCTATTTTCTCTATGCTTATCTAAAATAAAGCATGACAGTACGGATTGCCTTTTTTCTTAATCTTTTGGTTTATTTTAAGCTAAGACATTGCATACATTGTTTGGAAAAAGAAGGATATTCCTTATTCTTTTTTTCGGTTTTTACAGTGTTTCCCATGACTTTCAGTATATGTCCTTGGCTAAACCCCTTCCTTATCATTCATTGTGTTGCTTCTGAAATGGATTCTTTCAGCAAGTATTTATTGAACACTCACTATGTGCTGGGTTCTATGCTGCGGCTCTCATGGAACTTGCATGCTAATAGAGGGGAGACAAAAAATAAACAGGATAAGGGAGATTGAGAATGGAGATAATGATGTAGGGGGAGAAGGAAGTTACAATTAAATAAGGTCGTCACGGATGGGCTCATTGAGAAGTGTCTTTTGAGCAGAGACCTGAAGGAAGTGAAGGATTTAGCCAACATATTCCATGTTACTGGAATATGGCAATTCAGGCAGAAGAAACAGCCAGTGGAAATGTGATAAAGCAGAAGTGCTCAAGGTTTGAGGCTTGTTTGAGAAATAGCAAGGAGACTAATGTGGCTAAAGCAAAGTGAAGTTACAAGCGAATGATAGGCAATGCCATAGAGGTAAGAGGAGAGGGTCAGATTTTGCTGGGCCTTATAAGCAGGGAGGCGGGGTAGGGGGGAGATTTGGGTTTCACTCTGAGTACTGTGGGGAACGAAGAGGGTTTCGAGCAGAAGACTGACCTGATGTGGTTTACATGTTAAGAGTGTCACTTAGGCACTGGCTTGAGCATAGGTCCTACCAAGAGTAGAAGCCTGTGGACCAGTTAAGAAGTTATTTCATTAATCCACATGAAAAATGATAGTGACTTGGATCAAGAAAGTAACATTGAACTTAATGAGAAGTGGCTGGATTCTGGATATATTTTGAAGATACAACTGACAGGATTTCTTGGCAGATAGAAAGTGAGGGGTAAAAAAACAAAAAGAAAGAAAGGATTCAAGGACGATTCCAAGGTTTGGGGCCTGAGCAACAGAAGAACTTAAAAAGGGTGAAAATCCTACACACACTGTGCTCCTAATGATTCTATATGTCAACTTTATTTATAAAACAATTTTAACTTCTGTTTTACCCTCTGATATGTAGAAAGTAGAAATCCAGCCAACTCAAAAGTTCTAAGAACACTTTGAATGCTCTTGGTAAATCTGAAGTAGCTATATGTAAATCGGTACACTAGCTGTCACTTCTGAGGACATCACCACCTCTAGTATTTACTGGACAACATAACATCAACATGAGGATACTTGGAACACACAGAAGACCTAGATGACATGGCCCCTGTCTTCTTTAAGTTTATTGTCTGTCTTACCGTCTTGGTAAACAGAATTCCAACTCTCTGCCTGGGTTTGGATTGTAGGCACAGGGCCTGGAGGTAGGGGTAGGTGCTTTCAGTTGGTCTCTGTGTGGTGTAAAGGGTGGTCCAGGTGAGAAGTTCCAGGTAAGAGGGCTTTAGGGAAGTGGGAACCACTATAAATATTAAGTCCCAAATCAAGGGGTCAGGCTAACCCTAAAAACCAATCAGCAAGAAAAGACCTGCCCCAGGACACTGTGTATATTTGTCCAGTTACCTCAGAAGGCATTCTATCTCTTTTTTTCTAAGTATTTAGGAAAAGCCTTGCTGTAGCCTTCAAACACTAACAGCAAGTTTACTGGGAGGTGGGGGAAATGTGAATACATAGAAAGAGAAATATGAATAGATGTCAATAAGCATAACTGTGGTATCACAAAATTCATATCTACAGTGAATTGTCTTTATTATGCTTCCTCCTTTTTTATTTTATGGACTTACTTTACTGTCACTTTAGGCAACAACTATTAACAGCATCTCTTTTGATAATTTCAAATTTGTTGATATCTTTTTTCTAACATTTAGTTGAATGCAAAGAAAACCTTTGAAACGCAAATAATTAATCATTTCTTGGGTCTCCAAGAAGGTTTGGGACATGGCAAACCTTGAATCAGTCTTGGAAAGAATCATCTAATTCCAGTAAAGTATAGGAATCCCAAGTCTGTCTGATCCTCAGACAGATAAGGACTAGCTGGACATGAAATACAAACTGTGGCCAACTTTAATTTTCCCAAATCAGATTTTCATGAAACATTTTCATTTCTTTGAGTGAGACAAATGAATTTTTCTAATATTTTATAATCCACTGTTAAAATTCAAGTAAAAACAAGTCTACAGTCAAATATAAATTACTTTGTTATGTTTAATTTTAGATAATCCTCTTCTCCTTTCTTTGGCATTAGAACAAATTGCAATTACTGAAGCCCAAAGATTATAAAGCACTATTTAAGCATTCATGTTTGATATCAAGATTAAAGGAGAATACAAAGACTAGCATTAGAGGATAAAGTTTCTGAGACCAGATGGGGCAAGTTTAAAAAGGTTTTAGGGAGAAAATACAATAATCAATTTTAGAAGGAAAGGAGGGGAGATAACATATTTTAGCAGTAACTTAGGCTTTTAGTGCAAAGGATATTATTTGGTTTTTGTAATTGAATATAATAAAACACTTTGCCCTTTAACATAAAATCATATTTCCCATATGTATATGAGTACACTTCTCTGAGACTAAGCAAACTGTTTGTAAAACAGGAATTGAATTGAAGAGGATCATATTCTTTTAAATAACTTTCCTCAGCCCTTTCATCAGAGAGGATGAGTCAGCCTAGGGCACTCAGCACCAGGACAGACCCTACCTGCTTGTATTTCTTTTGCTGCAGAGCACAGGCCCATAATCCTGATTAAACATTTAGACGTCTCACTCCTCCATCTACTCAAGTTGACCTCTAACAGAATTCTGGCTGTTTTTCTCTCCATTTGTGAAGAGAATTTTCATTTTAAACTCTTCCAATTTAACAGAGGGAAAAGGTTAAAGTCAACCTACACCCCCCATTCAAAAAAAAAAAAAAATCATCCACAGTTTCCCACTGAATTGGAGCCAAAATCTCTGCCAATTTTGCTCTCATATCTCCAAGTTGTACCCTGACCCTTCATATGACCAGTGGGGCTTGTTACAAAAGCTCTCTCTGGACGCCTTTCTAAAAGTGCTATCTTCGTCCATATTTCAAAACACTCACAGATATTTTATCATTAATTAGTATTCATATTATGTCTCAAACAATCTGTTCACGAATAGGGGAAGTGAACTAGTTGAACAGCCCTGTTGTTTTTCTAGTGATTAACATGGATGATGTATGTAGTGCCGAAGACCTTTTAAGGCAGGAAACAGTCAAATGTTGGGTCGGTAACTCTTGGAACATTTAGAAGCTTACCTGTTTTGGAGGCTGGACCTCTCCAGAGAAACCAGACTTGGCAAACAGGATGGGGAGACACAGGCCCCTTTAAAAATAGACCCATGCCTCTTTGATTCACAGCATCCTGGATTTGCTTTTCATCGTGTTAACATGCCACTTGGGAGCTGGCTGGACTCCCTTGTTCAGTGACATATATTTCATAGTGTTTTTTTTTTTTTTTAAACCCATTTGTTCTTTCAACCACAACATGCTTTGCATTTCTCTTTCAAATTTGAGGGTGTATATATAGATTGATCAAAACAATATTTTTAACATTCCAAACAATTTAGAAAGCTGGTGGATGGGTGTCAGTTAATCTATTATGTTCATCTTTTCCTCCTCCCCCTCTTCAGCTGCTAATCTTAGAACTTGTGTGCCAAATTGTGTAAGATATTCTTCCAATAGCTACATGTGTGACTCTTTTGTGAGCTCAACAGACAGTTATGAGGACAGATTTGGAGTTGCATATGGGACTGTCACATGGTTTGATTGCCTTGTCTTCCAGGCACTGAGATTTCTTTTCACTGAGCTTTAATATTGAGGAACTTTTTGTTATGATAAAAGTTCAGCAAAGTCTCTATTAAATTATTTATACACCTCAAGAATGGAGAAGAAAAAAACGTTTTTACTCACCACCACTCTGTATTTGGCATCTATATATACTTAACAGTTCCTATATTTACTTTTTACAGTAGTGAAAAAAATTCGCAGAATTTTTATGAAAATCAGAGCGTTAAGAGCCTTTATTATCCTCCTTGCTCTTTTGGAGCAAGATCTAGTAGATGTCTCGACAGAAAAGAAAGCAGATGCTTTGTAAAATGGTCTTATATAATTCATGTCCAATTATAGAGGATGATTTGTAGGAAAATGTGATCTATCAACTGTTAGGAGGCAAAAATCCTATGTCTTTAGTCTCTGAAATGGTAAGGTGCAGATAACTTTATACACACATATTGAACACCCTCTTTCAGGACCCAAACACCACAGCCCTTCATCCCACTGAACCATAGTGCCACCCTCGAGGGACACACAGCCTTACAACAAGGTCTTCTTATCTTATTTCAAATACTTTTCAAGAATGAACAATGTCCTAGTGATATCTGCATCCAGTGAATGAAGACATATAATATTATAAAAGCATTAATCACATATACTTGTATTAATTTCACCCTGTAAAACAAATACAATGGTTAATTATTCAGAGCTGCACCTTTATTTGCTTCAGTCTTAAATCAGAAATATTGATGATGGCTACCATATATTGATTTGCCTCTGTGAGACTAAACTCTATAAAACAGATGTTTTACATATATTACTCCTAATCCTCAGAATAACACACCAAAGAAGGTGTTATTATTATCTCCTTCTTCCCAGTTAAGTTAGAACTCAGAAACAGCTTGAATGAGGATAGAAGTGTATTTTCTTGTTTCACACCTTAATTTCCTTTTCCTGTTTTAGGTTAGAGAAGTCATGTACCCTGCTGGGCAAACTGCACTAGTACCTAGCACAATGAAACTTGTGAGTGGCAGAATACAAACAGAAGCTCCCATGTCCTTGAGCCACACCCTGAAAATTCTGAAAGCTCTGCATAGAGGCACTGGACTTCCCCACATTCTCATGGCTCACTGTTAACGTAACGAGCAGCAAGTTCATTGCGACTGCTCTGGATACCTGGCAGAAGAACTTAAGGACACAAAAAGAGGTACCTAGAGTACCTATTTTATTTCTAGTCTACAGAAGAGCAATTTATGAAGAGGTTTCCTCCAGGCAATATCAAGCCTTTCTCAGTGTATTTCATAAGGGTTTGAACTAAATCCGGCATAATAAGGTTTGATTGAGCTGTTATGTTCTGCCTCGTAAGTGGCAGTGCACAACTGAGAAAGAAAATTGCTTAATAGAAAGTTATAGTCATCACTAACTTTATCCTAATTCCCCAAAGCAGTAAGTTAAGAGTTCTATAAGAGCAGCTTAGAGCTCTTAGAAAATGCTGAAAAATACTCTGTGTAGAAACATTTCTGCCCATATGTCACACTGTACTTTCTGGGGATGGGCAATTATTTTTCTGATATTTTGCTCACTTAGGGTAAGTTTTATCTTGTGTCTCCAAGGATGTTTTACAAGGGCCTTATCTATCCATTCTTCTAAAATATTTAACAGAAATTCTATTTTTCAGCATGAGATCTGTTCCCTGGTTTGGGGTTGTAACTCCTAGTTATCCCACAGACATCAAAAGCCATTTCTGAAATATATTGAATTTAGATCAAAGCATTATTCATACAATTGTGTCATCAGAAAGTAATGGGCTGTTTAAATGAAAAATTGATTAAGCTGATGACTGGAATTTATTCTAGGAAGAACTTACAAGAATCTGTTCTTTCTTAACGTTAAAAGTTATATTGGCAATGCAATCATTATTTGCAGGTGACATTATCTACCTAGTAAATGCATGAGACATGAGAACCAGTAAAACTAGTAAGAGTTTGAGTAAGTTTAGAGTTTAGTAAGATTGCTAGGTATGAAGAAAATTCTAAAAATCTTTTACTTTCTAAGTATCAGCAATTACCAATTTAAAAAGATAATGGGAGAAAAAGACACAATGTACAGTAGCATCAAAACCTATAAGAAATTTCAGGACCTCGATAAAGAAAACCATAAATCTTTACGGCAAGATGAAGCTTTAAAAAATTGGAAAGGTATATCATATTTATGAATGGAAATGATTTAAAGATACATGTTTTTTTATTTTAAAAATAAATAAATTTCATTAAAATCAAGTCTCATAGGGAATGTATTTAACATAATGATTCTGAAATAGATATAGAGAAATAAAGCAGGCAAAAATAGACTGGAAATTTTTACCAAAAGAAGAAACTGAAAGAGAATGAGGAGTACAGAGGAAGAGCAAGAATTAGAAAACCTTACACTGCCAGATATTAAAGTATAATGTAAGGATCCAATTAACATCATGTAGCATTGGTACAGTAACAGATAATAATCAGTGTCTCAAACTGGAAATTTGTCTTAAAATTATGTGCCTTCATATTTGTAGAGGTGGGAGTGTTTCTTTAGCTCCAGCAGGAACACAGAGGTCATGTTGCCTGTTGCTGATTTGGCAAAGCTTGGTTTGGCGATGCCTCATTTTCCCTGAATGAGCCTGCTTATTGCTGCCTCTACTAACAAGGTGGAGTTTTGCTAGCCGTCCCCACGAGCTGCCTCTTACTTTGGTTATGACTTGGAGTTTCTCCAAATCCAGTAGGGTCTAAGGCTTGCCTATCTGAGAGCCTTTCCTCTCCCCATGACTCATGGGGTCTGTAGAATTCTTATGAACGTTGCTTTCTTTGTGCTTTATTTAATTTTTGCTGTGGCTGACATATGTGAATTTGAGCTATTGCACAGATTCCCTCCTCTCTCCACTCTCAGTGGCTTCATTTGGTATTCAGTGCCAGTTAAAAATAAGACAATATAAACTTCTATATTATTTAAGCTAAACTTAAGTTTTGATATAGAGTGAACACATTTATTAATAACGTATTTCTTCTTACATATCCACAGATGTGGGTTCCAATTTGGAAAGAGTTTCACTAAGGAAAGTTTGTAGAATATTTTCAGTGTGGCTAAGGGGCAAAATAAATACTGGTCATCTTTATAGATTTTGAAAAATAAAGTAATTTCTAGGCAAGCCAACCATACCCACCTTACAACTAAATGTAATGCAAATTACCATATCAAACAGAAAATTTGAGTGTTCCAGTTAGCGGTATTTAGTTTCCTGCTTATTAATGTCAATTTAGGTGCTGCTTAGAATAATTTGCTACAGAATCATTGTATGTCATTATTTTGCCATTGAAAGAGATTACATTTTTAGCTAAGAAGGAAATGAGTTTGGGAAAGATCCTTTTGCCAAGTTGAAATTTATGGCCAGGACTGTAAGGTATGAGGAATATATCTAGTTTTGCTTTAACAATGACTTGCTATCAGAAGTTAAGTGATCATTTTATAATTTTCTATAAAGTGAAAGAAAGGTGTTTTTAATTTAATTACCCATGCCTGAAAGGATATTTGAGTATATTCTTATTGGAATAATTAGTAATTTGAACATATCATAATAAGCTATTATATTCTTTCCAGAAATTTTTTGGTTCTCTGGTTTTCTTTGAAGGTGCTAGGAGAGTATACAGACTGACATATTATTCAACATACTGATACTTCTTAAGATCATAATGTTGGTTGTTAAAACTTTACTAAATTGACTTGACAGTTTCAAATTAAGTATCATCTTGTGTTTTTCCTTTCTACATATCTTTTTAATGACAGTGTCATATAATATGATGGTTTTATGAGTGGTTTTGGTATCTCATTCATCAGAGTAATCAATGGGGAAAGGAGCCATGTGGGCTGTAGTCCATTTGTATTGGATAGCACAGATGGCATTATTGATAGATGGAAATATTCCAAATATTTATTGTATAATGATATCACAAGGACTCTGACTTCTGAATTTTAATGCCTTAATTTCTACAGTAACTGGCAAAGTAAGTAATTTATTCAGTTACCACATATCCATTTAATGATATCAATGTGTGAATTGTAGCATTAATTACCTTTCAGTTAATACTGTATTTTGTATGATGGGTATTTCTTTTTCTAAGCCTTTGTGTTTACTTATCTGATTTCTGACCAAGCTATCGGTTTGGTCTTGAGGATTTTAAAGTTAAAAACAATATTTGGAGCAGACAGTATGTAAAGATAGGATGCAGAAGTGAACAAAGTGCAGATTCAGTAATGGTTCTCTCCCAATATCACCTCTGTCATGTGGGAGGCCAAAGGAAAAAGGTACCCTTGAAGAACCTTTACATTTGCCTCTTGCATAAGTTTTTACCCTCAATAGATTTCTTAAAATTATGTTCTAATATAACCATAGACAAAAGGACATAATGATAGAATTCAGGATCTACTTATATTTTAATACCTCAATTTGAAATTGAGTTATTCCAGGAAGGGTTACTGCTGGATGGTTAATACACCATCCTCTCAAATGTTTGACACCATTCCAGAATCACATTTGCACTACTAGAAATAAATGAAAGCCAGTGAAAAAAAGGTCTTCACTTTTTACTTTTGTATTTTATATTTTTGTATTCTTTAAATACATACTGAATGCATATAGTCATGCCTTACTTTTGCAATTGCTAAGTTAAAAATGAGAGTTTGAGTCATTCTAAAACTTCTGTTGCCATTGTTTTATTTTTAAAATACTATCAACCCCTAGTATTGAAGACCTACTGTGTATATAAACACTGCTGGGAGCTCTCTGATATTACCTCCAGGTTACTTACTATTTTACTTAGGAAGTAATATCAATTCCTTGAGTAGTGACCTTCTTTCCAAACTAAAAATTAGGACACATTGTCCAACAGTGTTTTGTTTTTTCAATTTGTTACTGTGAGAAAAATTACAAAGGTGCCAAAATAAATGAAATAAATAAATAAATAATTTTTTAAAAGAACTAAAGATTATTTACATTTAAGTTATAAATTTATCAAGTTACCTCCAATACTGACTGAGACCACTAAATTCCCAGTATCTAGCTCACTGCCTTGCACATGTCAAATTCAACATTTGTTGATTGCATAGTGATAAACAAGGTAGGATAGTTTACATCCATAAAGATGATTGGAAATAGAGTTTAATTATATGCTTTCAAAATGATAGTGTGATCCCACTAACGAAATAGAAGCTTTATACTAAATTTTGATAAGATCAATCTTTTTAAAAAGTTCTTATAGAAATAGACAATGTAATTATATTGGAAGAGTAAGTTGACCAAGCTTTATTTAGTCAAAATATCTAATAATGTACAGTGGGTCAAGAGGACAAAACAACTTAGGCCTATCCAGAGACATCCCATTCAAACAGACTGGCTATGTATGATTTAGGGCAAAACTTCTTGCATTCTTACTGCCCTGGCAAGTACAAATGGACCAAATACACCCTGATGATCCCAGATTTCTCCAACGCTCTAGGACAATTTCAGAAGCATTGATGAAAATGGCATAGATAATATTCTGATAGAAATCTCAGGACCGATAATAAACCAAGAAAAAGGCTAGCACTAACTGAAGTGATATGGAATTTTAAATATTCTACATATATTTACTGTTCCTTTTAAAAAAAGTCAAAGTCTAAGTAAAATAAAATGCATGAATATTTTGTTGTCACTAAAGCCTTCTATTTCCTTTATTTATGGAATAAAATATATGAGTGCTTTCCAGTAAAATTTGGGAATAATTTTTAATCTGAACTTTGTACCATATTTGCAGCCTTGAAACTTCGCTGATCTTTTTCACTTTTCTCATTGTCAGTGTTTGTTTCTCTCCCTCTCTCCTTTCTCCCTTTATACTCTTTTAGGCATTGAGAGACAGAATTAAAAACTGACAGGCAAATCAGCTATTACTTTGAATCTCCAAACAGGAAAACTTCCTCTCAGGCAGCACTGCAAAATATAGTCATATTGTTATGTGATTATTGTTATTCTAGGAAGATTTTATTTTTCTCTTCTTATTTTAAATTTTATATATTTGGAGAAATTTTGTTATATCTTTCCATTGATGGAAAGTCTAATTACATTTATAGTGAATGAATGACTCTCTTCACTGTATTTTGCTACAGATTTTTCTCATAAAAGTTCTTATCCAGACTTCTGGGTATGACCCATCCTCCCCCACCCCCACCCCAAAAAAGTAAAACATGAAGACTAAACCTCAGAATTTAATTTGTGTTCCTGTAACTTCATATGACCCCAAGTTATTTAGA